GTTCACAGAATCAACTTAAATTTACAGTAAAAACCTGTATTCCATTAACTGATGTTAATGTGAATATACCATCTGTTTTTATAATGCACTGACAACAACCACTTCAGAAACACAGGTGGTGATGAGAAAGCCACAAAATGAATCCACGTTCATCAAAAGTGAGCTGAGGTGCACTGTAAAAATGATTGTGATTTTAACAGTAAAAGACTGTAAAAATGCTACAGTAAAAACCTGTTAATTGGTTATCAGTAACTTTCCATACTATATACGGTGAATAACTGTAATTACATTTAATGTAATTTTACAGTAAAATACTGTTAAAATTACGGTTTTTGGAAGTGAAAAAGAAAAAGTCATTGTATAATTTACATTGAAAAAACATAAATTGACACTCCCAGAATTCCCTGCATGACACTTCATATTTTATGTTTTTTCATTGAAATAACTATGTTTCTTCTTAGTTTTTTCTTATCAGTTGTGTACATTAGGGTTTTATCTTACATCTAATGTTGTTAAATTAATGTTTATTGCATTATTTCAGTTTCATGTGTGTTACCATGATGGTGTTTAGTGTTTGTGTGAATGACACTGTACACCTTTTGTATATAAACAAGTACTTCCCTCTTCAGCTTGTGGAGGAGCTGTTTGTGATGAGCTTTGATTCATCATGTGACTTTCTCATCACTACCTGTTTTTGGTGGTTACCAGTATTACAATGGTTCAAAACAGATATTAGTACTTCAATATGCTGGTTTATTAACATTACATCAGTTAATGAAATTCGTTTTTTTATTGTGAATTTAAGCCTGTAAATACTAATAGATAGAAGGTACAAAAGTACGAAACACTATCATGGTAACATACGAGACATGAAAATAATGCAATAAACATTAAAAAATAAAAAACTTGTGCATAACTGATAAAAAAAAAAACTAAGAAACATAGTTATTTGAATTTGAAAAATTTAAAATGTCTTGCAAGAAATTATGAGAATGTCAATTTGCAGTTTTTCGATGTAAATTATAAGATGACGTTCTTTTTCACTTTCAAAATTGATTTTACTATAAAATTACATGAAATGTCTTGTTAGGTCTATTAAAGATTTTCACTGTATATAAGGGAGTTATGTAATACTATGTTAGTATGTAAGGGACTTTACTGTTAACCATTTAACCAAAGCATTGTTACAGTCTTTTACCAATAAAATGACAATAAAATTACAGTGCAGCTTAAAAAAAAATCCAAGTCTGACTACAAATATATAGTCAGTGTGGAAGTGAGAAGCAGGCCGCTGTGTGCTCCGGTGGTCTGCTGGAGGCACAGTCTTGAGTTGTGTAAATGAAAATGTCACAGGCAGACCCCTGACAGCTCTGCTCCAGCACATTAACATCACACATACATCCAGTGAACGGTCAGGGAATAAAGACCATTTTGTTTTGCCTCAACACACACCTGAGTCCGAGCACATGAGTGTTACAGACTCGTCATTCATGAGCTTACTGAGATAATGCAACAGCAGGAAGAGCAGATGTTTTCTTGACATACTGTTGATATACAGAAGGCTCAGCTACTTTCTTTTAGGGGCCAGATTGTCCATATCTTAGCACACATAACATGTTCAAACGTATTTTTAAAATATACCAAAAAAAAGCCAGTTCAGCCAGTCTTTCAGCCCATACAGAAATGATAATTACCTTGATAATTATATATGGAAAGGTATGGCTACTTTATTGCATTTGATTCTATAACTATGCTGTTTTAACCCTCAAAGACTGAGACAGCCACCCGCGGCTAAAAATAACCATTGTTCTTAAATGTTTAATAACTTTTGAACCGCTAATCCTATCTGAATGCTTTAAAAAAGTGTCGTAAAGCAGAGATTCTCTCTTTTCATTTGTCCTATTTGGATATTCGGAGACTCCGTAGCGTATGTGATTACGTCATCACATTTTGACAACATTGATTCGTCAGAAGAAACCAATGCATTTCGTCCTCTGAGCCAAACAGGTACGATTGTTGATACTTAGTCCCACCCCCGTGCCCAGATTGGTTCAAACTGTCACATATTCAACCAATAAACATAGGTTTTGGTCTTTTAAACCATTGTTTAGCAAGTTTCTTTGGAAATCTGAGCAAACGCAAAGTGAAAGTAAAGTGTGTCGTGCGTGCACGAAAACAAACACACAATAACACATTTGCATGAGAGCACTCTCTGAAAAAGCCCAGAAAAACACAGGACAGAGAACTTTGGCATAAAACAAACCAAAAACAAGGATGAAAAAACGGTACATATCGGATAAAGCACTGGAATTTAGGTATTCGCGCCGCTAGGAGATGTCCCGGTAAAATCAATTCTGACGCAGAGTGCAGCCAGCGAATCGAATCATTTGGCTGTTATATTATGTAAATAATACTTATATAGTTCATAAAGATCATTTGCACTATTTTTTCCTGTTGCACTCTGTATATATTGTTATTATATAACACGGTTTCCATTTTCTTTACTCCCTAAATGTTTTTGGACACATATATATTGTTAGTAAAGTAAATAGACCTGTTTTTCACTGAAAAGCGCCTATAACAATATTGTAATAAATAGCTATAACTTGCTTGGGGAATGTTATTTGTAGAAAAAAAAAATATTTGGAAGTGTAAAACACCCAGATACAACTTTCTAAAGAAAAAAAATCCAAACTTCAGGAGTTTTTGTTTGAGTACACAGTAAAAAAAAACACCCTATTATTGCTTGCGTTTTTCTTAAAATTCTGGAAATTCATTAATTCTTAGAGAAACCAAAGGAAAAATTGGGACTTTAAATTAGCTAGACTGAAACTTCAAGTGCTCCTGTTTATAATGATATATGGCACTTGATGCTCACTGCTAGAATAGGTCTGAAAAAACAAAGAAAAGTACAGGCGTGTCAGGTGCCCCAAAAATGTTCTAGGTCTTTAAGGGTTAATACTGTAATATGGATTATTAAACTAATGGACTGCTCTAAAGAATGACATCATGCAGAGTAGGAGACATGGGCAAAGTAGGAGAAACAGACTGGCATTGATTCAATTCAAAGTTTTACTATTTGTACAGATTTTCTTAGAAATGAGTGTGCTGTTTTTGTGCTTCGTTCTCAAGATGAAACATCTGTTGTGATTTGGAGTTATTAACAAATGCTCTTTCAGGGTAATTCACAGTCTACAATGGCTGTGATATTTTTGTAATTATGTGAGCGCGTATACATTAGAAATCATTTTCACACCGGGGGTACTCACAAATTTGTTTTTAATACAAATGTTTGCTATTTATTACTTTTTCTGCTGACATTGGCGTCCTTTATCACGTAATTCGTCCCGGAGGAAGCCCCTCTGGGCCACAGGTTTTCTTTGCCACACACACTGAAACCGTTATTGAGCTAATTGTTGTGTGAAATGATATTTACAGACATTCAGAGTTGGATGAGCAGATTGTAATTTGATTAAGCAAAAGCCATTAACTGCATTAAAACTGGAAATGGGCTCAGCTGTATTTTCCAGGAGGATTTCTACTTCTTCCCGTGCATGAGGCATTTAAAAGTCAAAGTGTCAGTGGAGTGGAAAATTGCCCATGAGACAAGCGTCGTCTAATTAATCTAACCCAAGCTGTACTGGAGTCTGACGTATACAGTTGTGTACATAATCGTTACAGTAGAGAACAGCCTATGTGGCAATTTCTATGAATACTGTATACTTTGGTGTCCCATTAGAACTATTAGATATGTTTGATAAACTGTTATCTAACAGAATCTTAACATATCCTGAGATCTTTAATGCATCAGATGTGGTGATGCATTAAAGATTTTCTAATGCATCAGATAAAAATGGATTTTTAAACCATTAAAATGGATTTTAGCTTGTCCAACAACTAAAATAATTGTATTTTTTTATTTTATTTTATCATCTGTGTTCTAAATTATACATTTTAAAGATTCAGGCTCTAATTTGTACCCTATTTGGGTATTGTGTGTTGTATATTAAAAGTTAGAAAAGTTAGATGCCATATCATGGAAAACATATTCAGATTTCAGTAACATCAGGGTTATTGTTAGTCATTTTGCATGCAGAAAGGTTAGCCAATGATAACAGATGTCATTTGCATTATAAAATCCTTAACACTCTGGGGTCCAAGGGTGTTTTGGGGCCTTGGAGAAGTTTTGACATGCCTTGAAATGTGTGCTTTTTTCAGTTGCTTATAAACATTTTAATGGCTACAGTTTAATAGCACTATAATCAGCACAAACTTGGCTACAATAATATGTTTCACAGCCTGTTTAATTCTAAAGGTCAGAGAGAGGGCGGAAAATGTGGAAGTAAACTATGAACACGAACTCTTTCTTAAAAAAAAAATTGCATTTATGTAATACTGGTGGTATTTTTTTGTTATTCATTGTTTTATTCAATGGCATACATTTCCTCAGTGTTCTGAGATGTATTTCTGCAAGAGATGTTTCCTCGCCTCATTTCAAAACCAATTTATTTCTAGTACATCGCCAGAAACATTGTACTTTCTTGCCATTTTTAAAAAATCAGTAACTGAACATTTAAGAAAGTTGCTGAAAGTTGTTCCCCAGTAACTTCAGACATGGACACAAGGCCCATTAGCTCCTGACGTCCCTCAAGAGATGAAACTGTAGTGCTAAAACCTCCATGCCAAAAATAATGCTGTAGATCTGCTGGCTGCTCCCGACCGTTATTTATTCATAACTAAACTATTCATATATTTGACGATGTAGTGTATAAGCAAGGCAAACCAGATGGATGTGCCCATCAGTATTAGATCCCAACATAGTCTCAAAGTGCAATGTGAGAAGAGCATCTGTGGGAACTCCATGTGTCTGAATTCAGATGTTTCAGGAAGAGCCTTCGCATCACACAATCCACGCTCTTACGTAACACACGGCATTCTCAAGTAAGGTCAGTCTGGCATTTATTGTGACCGCGGTTTACCTGCGTTCTCGTGTGTTGCAGGAACGTGAGCTTCTGAGTCGCATCTCAGATCTGCAGGAGGAGGTCAGTCGCAGGAAGAAGCACATTGCCAATCTGGACCACGAGATTCACACCCTGAACGAGAACATCAGCACTTTGACCAAGGAGCTGGAACTCAAGGGCAAAGAGGTTTTGAAGATCCGTAGCGAGGCCAATCAGCAGATCAGGTGAGTCTTGGATTGGAGATTGTGCAGTTTTCTTGCATTTAGGCAGTGTAACAAACACTGCTTATTTGCAGATCAATACATTAATTGTCTGCACTAATCTTTCTTATTAGTGCTGATTAATGACTAGTCTGACTAGTGCTGGCTAGAATAAATAATAAACATGATCGATAAAATACGTTTACTTTATACAAAATCAAGTACTTTTGTACTTGAACTCAAGTGAAATAAAATTTGGGTACTTACACTTTTACTGGAGTAATATTTTATTTTGTACTCGATTTGTGTATGTCATCCACCACTGCATTTAGGAAACAGTGAGTAAACATTGCAAAATGAGAAAATTTCACCTCACGTCTGCATGCATGGGGTTGCATGAGGTCATCCCTGTTCAGTAGAGAACATCTGCAATCTTTAAACAACCTCTAATGTGACATTCTCCTCTGGTTTTATGTGACAGGAGTCATTGGTGAGGATGAAAGAGATGGAAATTCAATTATTTTCAACCAGAATGGGGTTTCAAGTGGAAAACAAATTAAGAATAAAAGCAAAAAGGGCACCATGTTCTTGCCTAGAAAGTCCTATCAGGATTTGTCTGTCAGTTTGCCCACAGTCGTCTTGGTGCTGTCTGGCTCTTTTGGACGGTGTTGTGTGTCTTTTGTAGTAGTTTAAAGAAAAGAAAACAGACTTTTAAAAGGGGAAATCAATCGGATTAGAAAACCCGAACTCATTATATTTTTTATTCAGGGGGTGATATTAATATTTCACCCTTGTATTAATAAGTAAAAAAGCCATTTCATTATACAGTACATAGTGGCTGTTTTGAGATAATGTGATTGTTTAGCAACACACATCATAATGCAAGACGGGTGCTGATCTCATTTCACTTTCAATTATGTAACAATGACATATCCAGGTCCTGAGATAAAAGCGGCAAATAAATTGCATCGCCGTTCCCCAGAGGTGTATCATTTACCGAGAGGAGATCCTGCTTTATTGCTCTTTATGTGAAGCCATCACAGCATGTGGCTGAATTGTGTTTCAGATAAAAGCCATATAGCATAGATATTGCAGTATGGAAAATGAGCGTGTCCTAACTAAAAATCTATAGTATGTTGCAGGAAGCGTGTTGTCTTTTGAAAACGGCACAACTCTTGTAACGCAATGCTTTGTGAATGTTATTTACTCAGACAGAACATTTGTATCAGAGCAAAGAAACAAACACTGTGCTGGATGAAAGTTTCATGTAACAGAGGAATCAAAGGAAGTGCTCACTGCACTAATAGATCACAAGTGACCGCACACTTTTGTATAGCGGCCCTGCTTACATTTTTCTTATTCATTTTCTTTATAGAGACTTCAAAACATTCTTTAATAAAGAGCTCTAAGCCATGAATCAAACTAACCAGCTCTGAGCTGAATGACAACATTACAAGTTTTGGAAAAAATAAAATGTTTGAAAAAACGAAAAAAGACAGTGTAGTTTATTTTCTGAGGGAATGGGTTATACTGCAAAATATATTTTCTCAAACTAGTCCTCCAAACAGTTGTAAACACTGTTTAAAAATACATTTGTCTAAGCTTTGTTTTCATAGAACATATCTTAAGTATATTTTCTTACCCCAGTGGCAAATAGTTTTTTTGTTTGTTTTGTTTTAAGCGTAAATGTAACACAGTTGAGTGAGATTTTTTTTTCATAAAACAAGAAGAAAGAATATGTGTATATGTATAGGTTAAGAAAAATAATTTAAGATTTTTAAATTTTACAATACTTTTATTTAGCAATGACATATTAAATTGATCAAAAGTGAAAAGTGAAAAGTTGTTTGGAACTTTCTGTTCATCAAAGCATCCTGAAAAAATGCATCATGCTTTCCACAAAAATGTTTTTTAACATTTATACTGTAATATTGGCAATAAGAAATGTTTGAGCATCAGCATATTAGAATGATTTCTGAAGGATCATGTGACACTGAAGACTGAAAATTCAGCTGTGCATCACAGGAATAAATTACATTTTATATTATATTGAAATTGGAAACAGTAATTTTAAATTGTATTATTTCAAAATATTACTGTTTTTACTGTATTTTCAATCTAATAAATGCAGCCTTGGTGAGCAAGCAAGACTTCTTTCAAAAACAATAATATGAAATCTTTTGAATGGTGGTGCAGATAAATAATAATATATATTTATTTATGCATGCATGCATGCATGTATATTCATCCAGTGAACCAGTATGAATCTCAGTCTAAACTATTTAATGAATCAAAACTATTGATTACATTTCCCGGTTTAGAAGTATAACATACAATATATTTAATATACAACATAATATATGCAAATATAATTTTGTATCACGTATGTTTCATTTATTTCCATCTCAAAATCTATTTATCTGTTTATGAAATGTCCTTCAAGCCTACAGCTGTAGTGCTGTGGGGTTACAGAGAGCTTTGTAGAGTCATTGAGAGTGACGTGTGTGTGTGTTTGTGTTCACAGAGCTCATGAGCAGGACCTGTTTAAGAAACACGAACGTGAGATGGCCGAGCTGAATGCTCTCCACCACAGAGAAGCACAAAACATGCTGTCAGACTTCAACAAGGCCCAGGAACTGCTGAAGGACAAGATCTCCGCCCTGCAGATCCTGTGAGTCCGTATGCAATATACAGTAGGGCTGGGTAAAAAATATCGATATCTCGATATTAATCCATTATCATTTTTGCGGAACGATATCGATTATTAAATCCCAAGAATCGATTAGTCTAGCCTGTTTTCAGTTATTGGACGGAACATTGAAGGGCACTTCCCATCTAATAAATCGCAATAAGCATTGTGCTTTGGTACTTTTAATATGAAACAAAGTCTCAGATTTCACATTCTGTCCATTGTATTGCAGTATTCAAACAATAAATGCTGTTTTGGCGCTGTTTAATGTGGAGTGACAAATCGCT